TCTCGGGTATGACTTTCATGTGCTTCAGTTTCAAGGACGCTCACTTTCCCCTTGGGCAGGGAGTGTGGGTGTGGGTGGGACAGATAAGAAAGAGGAAAGCAGCGGCAGGCCCTTCTGAGTTGCCTTTCAATAGCATTTTCTTCTCCTCCCTTCTCCTCTCTGTCCCCCCATTTGGACTGGGAACCCCAACTGGTGGGGGAGTGGGAACCACAGCAACCGCCTGGACAAAAGAATCCCATTGTGAATGGAGAAGCAGCACCTGCAGTCATAGGTCACCATCTCCCCCTCTTCCTGACCCTCCAGGGCACAGGCATCGGGCTGGCAGGCGGGAGGGGTTGCCGAGCGCAGGACTGGGTGGCAGGAGAGCGTGACGCTGACACGCACGTCCATCCACACGAGTCACTGTTGGTTCAGGGAGAGAATCTCAGGGAGAATGAAAGCTGCCTCGCGGCCCCGACTCCTCACTGACCAGCTCTGCCTCGCCTGTCGCTGGAGGGAGCGTGGCAATGAGGCCATGAAAAGAAACGATTCCAAGGTTTGCTCTCCGCCGACTGGCGCGAGGAGTTCTGTGGAAACCTTCCAGCGCCCTTCGTTTTCATCACCCTTCACCTGAGTGCCCACAGGGTTCCCTGCGTTCGGGATTGGGGTGTGAGGTGTCATTCCAGCAAGATCTGTTCTTCCTCCCGTATCCCATTGCTCTCTATTCCCTCTTGTGGATCTGATGTTCAGTTTTATGGTTCAGAAAACCTAAGCTATGAAATAGCAATTCTTTGCTATCTGTGCAGTGGCAGTTTTATAGCTCAGGGGACTGGTCGGTCAAAAGCTTGATAATTACTACCCTAGTCAGTGGTCAGCAAACTGCGGCTCAGCAAACCGCGGCTTGTGAGCCACATGCGGCTCGTGAGCCACATGCGGGCTCTTTGGCCCCTTGAGTGTGGCTCTTCCACAAATACTGGCTCTTCCACAAAATACCGACTTCTGCGCATGTGCCAACGAAGTTCAATCGCACTGTACGTGCACGCCCGCACGTGGTATTTTGTGAGGAGCCACACTCAGGGGCCAAGAGCCGCGTGTGGCTCGTGAGCTGTGGTTTGCTGACCACGGCCCTAGCTG